AGTAGTGGTAGTAGTGATAGTGGTAGGAGTAGGAGTGGGAGTGGGAGTGGGCATAGGAGTAGTGGTAGCAGTAGTAGAAGGTGGCTGTGAGTCTGTGGTGGCAGTAGCAGTAGGAAGACCTATTGAAGCCCCACGAGTTGGCGGATGTGATTTCACTGGTTCGAGCTGCAGCGAATGCCGGCAAGTTTTTCCATGCTGCACTTTAGCCTACTATGTCCCGGTTAGGGTAAAGTTGTGTCGGCACAGAAAATTGTGATGCCGTGGATAGTAACCTGCTCTTCCTAGAAGAAGGGCCTCAACTGATTAATTTCTCATTGCCGTCCCCCTCGAGGGCCAGTGGACGTTGATGTCCTCATCCCATCCATCAAACATTCAGTGAATTCGGCTCTGTGAAGCCGCGCTGTACCTCCGTGTCTGGCTGCTGAAGATCTGCTTTGACAGAATCCGGGACATGCATGCAGAGTCTGGCTTTTTCTCCGCTTGTCTGTCAGGTGGAGGTGTGTTCCTCAGAGGGCCCCAGAATCATTCGGCATTCAGAGCATGATTCTTGCAGGCCCTTCTTGAACGAGCAATTCGGGGGTCAAGGCAGAGACCTAATATTTGAGATGGCTTTGGAGCGAGCGTTGTGTGGCACAATCAAGGCGAGCGCGGGCAGGACTGGTTCGGTTTGCTGTGTATTGTCGTAGGAGATGGCTCTGTATGCAGACAAAGTGTGTAAGGCATGTGTGCGCTCCGGATGCTAAGTAATATCTTGAGTGCGGCATAAGTGGTGCAAATACGACGATGCAACTATCTAACATCAAGCATCACATCACGAAACCGAGGCCTTTCAAATCGAAACACCCTGTTCCAAGGCGGCACGCAGCCTCATAATGGTCGAGTCGCCGTCGAAGCCACAACACGAGGAGCCAAAGGCCAGCAAGCTGACAGCAAGGACCTACCCAAGGAGTAATGACCAAGAAATGACTGTTCAATGACTGGAATGTGCTCGAAGGGTTGTGTGCGAAAGCACTACACGTTCCGGAATTCACTCAGAGGCTGAGCAGCACGCCCAACCGTATGTGGCATACTCGCCGATGGACAACACGGACACCGACTCCGAGAGTGAGGAGGTGCGGTCGAGATGCCGGGACTGCAAGGCTTCAGCTCAGACAGTCCCATGGCCCATAGCCCTGAACTTGCCGTAACACCTAGCAGCTAGCAGACCAACTCGTAGGAGTTTTATGGACTGTCCAGGAGATAGAGCTCGAGGCTCCGCAGACGCAGAAGCTCCAGAATTTTCACAACTTCCAGGCGGGATGGGCCAGGCTGGCTTGCGCAAATGCCATGTTTTTCTCTCCAGCTGACAACGGGGCATGTAGCACCCAGGTGCACGATGACCATAGTTCATCTCAGACGGACTTTCATCCGCTCATGGCGACGCACATACCTCTCACGGCGTCCGTGGACGAGCACCGAACGTTGGGTTCCAAGTCGCTGACACTTCAGACAGATCTGCAGTTACAAGATGCTACAAGTCGCGGAACATGTCAGAACTCAACAGGCAAAGCTGGCCATGTTCGGCGGCTCAAATACGACTTCGTAGGATTATGACCTCCTGATAGCACGAGTTCCTCCAGCTCCTACGATGCCTTGGAGTGAACCCCGAAACTAAACTGGCCGCTCCAGATTTCAGCTGTTCAGCTCCTGAAATCATTTGAGCAAGAGGTGCTTTATGGAGCGGGATTCTCTGCTTGCTTTCGGCACCGCCACAGCAGACGCCGCCAAAGTCCTGTCACGCGCTCCGCGCTCCGGGCACTGCCCGAAGTTCATGCGCTCTTCAAAGAAGGCAACAAAGTAGGACTGATGGAACTGTTTTGGGGTCCTGAGAAAGCCTCGCAAAGGAGAGCAAGCACACGAAGCCCACAGGGCCACAGGGGTAGCGAGGCACGCATGCGTCGGAACGTGGCTCTCGAGTACCAGGAGCCCAAGCCCGCGGCCAGAGCCCGCTTGCATTAGGCTAGTTGCTTTGAACCAGGTCCATTTTCCCGCCTGGCGCGACGCCGCCGTAGCAGCTCGTGCTGGCCTCGGCTAGTTCGGAGCTGCTTGCTCAGCTCTGTATCACAAGTCTGTTCTTTCACCTTGGAACACAACCGAGTCTTGTCAGCACTAGGCTGTGACAGACCCTCCGTAACTTCACTACGGCGGCAAGTGTCAAATAGGAAGTTTGCTTTCCACTGCTTCGGGTGTAGTAAGCTTGCAGGCCTGTCCGTGTGCAGTGGCAGTCACAGATGTGTAATGAAGCTATGACATCTATGAGTCTATGACCACCACTAAGTGCGACAGGCCTGCAGCAAGTTGAAGTATCATGTTGTCCACCCCCACCTGGCTGGCATGCATTCGACACTTAGCGGGAAAAGTGCTTTTAACAGAATGTTGACACGTCGGAGATCCTCACCCTTTCTGTTGCAGCGAGAGGACGGAGACAAAGTGGCAGAATGGGCTTCAGAGTGCTGTTGCTTGCCCGCCTGCAGCGCGTGTGAGCTAGATGCACGAGAGCACCAAGGACCGAAGTCTTCATGAAGTGTGAGCCAGGTATCTCAAGTCGGATTTTATACCGAAGGCAGTCCAAACTGTTGGCCTCCGACAGTCTGCAACACAGGTGCTGCCGAATGGCACTGTCGCCGCTTTTAAACTTTTGATGCTGGCTCATGCCGTATGTAGGTTCTGTGCAAGTTGCGAAAGGACAATTGCTGGCCGGTAGACCATGCAAGGGACAGTCAGCGTTCTGATTTGGCCCTGGTCGTCCTTCCGTGAGTGTGCACTCTGCACAGTCTTATTCATGCCGGGTATTCTCCTCTGTTGCTCTCATTGAGCTTGGATAATTGGATACCTTCGGCTTGCAACACTGCTCCACTCTTGATGAGCCCAAGCACTCAGAGGCTCAGGGATTTTGCCGGCACGTCGACAGTCTGCAGAAGCCTTTGCAGGCTCCCCGACGTTGCTGCGGCTTAGGCGTTTGGTGCGAACGGTGGGACCAAATTGAAAAGCACGTTGTTTTGCCTCCCCCCTCCTCGAATGTTTCTGGTCTTTTGAAGCTAACTTGCCGTAGCCGCAGCGAGTCCTTTAACGCTCAATGGAGGTCCTTGCAAGGATTTGCAAGGCCTTGCCATGAGCCACATCCTCAGGGTCCGGTCCCTGGGCCAAGCCCACTGGGGCCACTGGAGCGGGCTCTCTAGAAAAATGCAAGAGAAGTGATGCAGGGATGCAGAACAGGTGAAATCAGCAGTGAAGGTCGTATTGGCGTTTCGTCGCCTGGGTGTCTTTTGCCCACACCGTTTGCTATTCACGGAGTGACACCCCGAAGCCCGTGCCAAGCAAACTTGGAAGCCGAGTCTTGATTTGTGGAAATCGGGCAGGGATTCAGTGATCTAGGCCAATCTTCGGAAGCACTGGATCGAACGGGGAAAAGAAGTCTGAAAGGTGGTGCCATTACAATCCTCCATGCAGACTGCGAGCGAGAGTAGGAGAGTGAACCGTGCCCAAGTCCATTTCGCTGAGGCCCCTAGAAATCCCAAAGTGGCAGTGACTGGAGAGGAAACGGGGCAGGGCCGCTTTGCATCTACTCGCACTCCTGGAGGCCGCTGTCGACACGGGTACACAGCGGCCACAAAAGCAGTCAGAAATTGTCTCTGACAGACGGGTATCAGAGGGAGACATCCACCTGCATCGTCAAGTCGCCTGGGAAGGAAGACAAGGAGAGTACTTGTAAGTAGTGAGAGAGAGGGAGGGACAGAAAGAAACACACCGAGGACCGGCCCTGAGTTTGTGACCTTGGCCGAATGGTTTTGATTCACTCCCTGCAAGAGGCATGTGCTCAGCCACGGATACATCCCTCCCGCCTCTTTGCCGAACAGAAATTTGCAACAAGAGAGCGGGAGTGGGTGTTATGTATTGAGAAACGAGGAGTGGGAAATATCTTCCGAGCATCAAATCAGGGATGCACAGCGGATGAGATGAATGAATCATGGTATGGGTATTCTGTGCACATCCCTTGAAGTGATCGAAATGACCTCAGCGTTGACTCGATGGATTGTCAGGAACCTTCCGGAAGCTCCGAAGCGGTGTGGAGCCTATTGCACGAATATCTTGCTATAGTTTTCTAGATGAGTTGAAAATCCCCGTCTGTGTCATGCACATCCTTCTGGTTCCAGAGATTGGGCTATTCTCTGAGGCCGCAGCAAGTCCTCGCGTTCAAACCGTACTGGTCCGGGCGCCAATGCTTTCGAGCGATATGGGTTCTATGCCATGCCGAGTCTGAGCCAGTGCAAGCTCATACCAAGCTGTCGCTTCATGCGGCGATGTTCTGACACCTGTTGCAGACGTGACTTTGGAGCCGACGCGCAGTTGCCTATGGAGGGCCGGTGACGATTTGACAGCCCTCGCAAGCTAAGTGTTTTGCCGAGCAGGCAGTCAGAGGCACTCAGAGGGTTCCAATCGAAAGGTGCATCAGGGCGTGACACTGAGTGCCTTTCGCGTTCAAGCAGCGCGCAGCGACAGTTTGAAAGCTGCACATGTGGCTGATTGCACCCGATATGTGACGGAGGGCAAGCACGGTCAAACAGCCAAACACACCTTCAACTCCAGAATGCGTGTCAATGCAAGCTGCTGGGGGCTCGATCTCGGTAGCATCACGACCTCGAAACAGCTCACGAACTCCGCACCTCCTGTGACAGCCGTTTTCCTCTGTGTTCCCAATTCGCTCCCCTCCAGTTTCTTGTTCTTTCCGTCACTCTCTCCCTCTCTCTCCGCCGACTCCTGCAGCCACGTGAGACCGAGTCAGGTTACCACCTATGAGGTGCTCCGCGCGGCGGCCGCCCGACAGGCCCTCGAGCAAATACCAGCCCATGCTTCCTGCCGTTACGGCAAGACATGTCAACGTGAATTCGTCCTGCCGAAGCCTGCCTCCGCAACAGCACCAGGGACCCGCAGCCAAAGCCAACGCTGCAGACGCCCTTCAGGCATCGACTTGAGCAAGTAGAGCTTTTAAGCATTATGGCTCAGCCATATAGCTAGACTCACTGTTTGAGAAGTGCCGGCAACAAATCATTCGTGAGGTGTCACTGCTCGTTCTGCCACGTGTGCCCACATGGAGCCAGAATCATGAGGACTTCGTTTCGGCCAGCGACCGGACGCTCATTTCCGTGTGGGTTAGCTGCGAAACAAAGTATGTTTTCGGCCCGCTCGTCCCGGCTTGCTGAGTTGGTGTGGCTTGGCCAGGTGCCAGAAGTGACATGTACCATCGGATCTGACTGCACCGTAGGCACTCAGCATCAAAGTGCAAAATCAAGGCTCCAGCTTTGCACTAGATGCTGTCACTGCGAACCACGGAATCTGAGCAAAAACTTCCAAAAGTTTGCGGAACGCAGTTAATTCCTGCTCGCTCGCATTATAGATATTATGGGCGCCCTCTGTAGTTCACGTGTGCCTGCTGCAGGGTGTTGATGACATCCCCAGCGAGGCGTCTGGGTAAAGAGGGCATGCGTGGGCAAGGCAAAGCCTTCGGCTTGGGCATTGGGCCGTGCTCACTGTGGATCTTGCATCAGGGGGCTTGGTAGTCGTTGCCGGTTGCAGCATTCTGCTTCATGGCGGCTGCAATCTAAGACTACGAGCTGTTTAGGCTTGTCTTTGCTTCTGTGTATGTGCATGCGGTCTGTGGGCAAGCTTCGCAAAGCCCATGAACTCTTAAGGGCCTGTATAGGATCTACTGGCGTGGCGGTAGCTACAAGCCACACCTGGCAAATCTGCGACAGGAAGGAGTTTGCACTGCATGAACCGCTCAGTGACCTGTTCGTCCGAGAAAGCAAAGAGAAAAAGCAAATGCCAGCTCCAACGAGTGGCCGGAGACAAGGTAGTAGCCGAGTTGGTTCAAATGGAGGAGCCATCGGTATTGTCCACGGCGCTTAAGTGGCTCAGCCCTTCTTGAGTCTTTCAAGAGTGTACGGGAGACGCAGGATCGTGCATTTGCAGCACCCGGAAGCACACGGACCACGTGCCACTGCTGGCTTGCAAACATTTGTGTTCCATGCACCCAAAGAATGCACGGAGCACACGTCTACTCAGAGCGAGAGAAAGGTTCACAAAGAAGCTTGAACGTTTGAGTTTTGCAGGGCGATGTGGTACCACATGCGCGGGGCATGTGCTCAGATCTTAGCACCACTTGCGATCTGCCATGATGGATTCGGTAGATATGTGCGAATGTGAAGCTCTGTCAGACATGTCAGGAAGGAACCTTCAGGATCCTGCTGTGCAAGAAGTTGTCAGGAGGCCTTACTCTGCCAGTTCCATTCAGGCAGAGGTCTTCTGGTTTCGAGACAGTCATGCCGGTCTTTGCCTCAGCTTCCTTTCCCGAAGCCTGGACAGTTGAAGGTCTTTTGCTATGATGACTTGGATTGTGGTGCTTCCGGGCTCGAAGAAAGCCTGGAACGAGTACATTGGCCTGTGAAAACGGGGCACACTCTCTCGCCAATGTCCTCCGAATGTGCAGAACAACACAGTGCCTTGATTCCGACATGGTCAGCAAACCTTCAACTTTGCATACGAAGAGACTAGAA